CTGTGGTGCTGGAGAAGAGTGTTGAATATACCATGGACTGCTAGGACAACAAACAGGTTTGTCCTGGAGAAGGTGAAGCCTGAATGTTCCTTGGAGTTATGGATTCTGAAGCTTCGTCTGACATACTTTGGGCATGTTGAAAGGAGGGGCTAGTACTTCGAGAGGGACATCATGTTTGGCAGAGTGGAGGGGTGGCAAAGGAGAAGAAGATCTTCAAAGAGATGGATCGATTCAGTGACTGGAACGGTGGGAATAAGTGCTTTTGAGATGGCTAGGTTGACACAGGATAGAACAGCGTTTAGGGCTCTTGTACATAGGGTCACTATGAGTCGCAAACAACTCGATGGCACATAACAACAACAACACCAACAACAACAGTGTTCCCTTGCTCTATTCTGCAGACTGTTCCCCGGTTCAAGTATAGGTTTACCACAAGCACAATCAAGTGCTCTGAGATTCCCATTTTCCTCAAGTTTAGCCACAATTTGTTGTGATCCACACTCTACTACTGAGTCTGAAATAACTACACAGACCTCATAGAGCCATATTAAGGTTATGAGTTTTTTGGGTTTTTTTTTATGTTAACAGATTACAAATTTAGGCTGGTCGCAAGATTCCTCAGTCAGGACAGCTTCTCAAGTGTTCTCACAAGCCTTTTGATCGTCAGCCTAGAGGCTGACCTGAATGTTACAAAGCTTTCTTGGTCTTGCCAATTATGGCATCTTCCTCCTCATTCTCAAGCAGACTTAGGTGAAGGCCTCGGGCTCTGTGAGACCACTGTCCCAAGTCATCTCTTTCCCGTATCAGTCTCTACTTCTCTGCTACAACTGTTGCAACCATGTAGGTCCTGGTCTCACTAGTGCAGGAATCTCTGCTCCTGAAGGACGCAGGCTGCATACCCTGCTTCCTCTTCCTCAATTAAATTCCCATCTTCTCCTGCCAAACCCATTAAATTTCAACCTGGAATGGCACAGCCAAAAAACTCCTTCATAAATAATTTGCCAACCTGGTTTGTATATTCCCACCAGCCATGTGGTGGAAATCAAAGCAAATAAGCTAGAAAAGTAATTTTACCTACATAGTCTTTCCAATCACTCACTACACATCCTTGAGCTGGACAATGACTAAAGGATGACAGAAGAAGAATTGATGCCTTTCAGCTGTGATGTTGGAGCAGAGTACTGAACATCCCATGGATGGCCAGGAGAACAAACCTTAGAGAGGGTGCAACCAGAGTGCTTTTTTGGATGTAAGAATGATGAGCCTTCACCTCACATGTTTTGGACATGTTGCTAGGAGGTGCTATTCCTTGGAGAGAGGGACATGATGCTGGGAAGGGTAGGGGGTTGAGAACGAGAGGAAGATTCTCAACCAGGTGGATTGACACAGCCACACAATGGGCTCTTGTGTGTCAGGAAGTGTGGGGATGGCGCAGGATGGAACAGGGTTCAGATCTTCTGTTCATAGGGTCATTATGAGCCGTACTCGACTTGATGTAAATAACAACAACAATAACAACATATTTGATCATGAAGATAAAAGACTACAGTGTTCAGTATAAATTAGACTTCAGCATACAGGAAACAACTATTCACAACTGTTTTAATATGTAATATAATAATAAATGAAGAAAATATTGATGGTCTCAAGGATCTTTAAAGTGTCGAAAAGCAAAGGTGTCACTTGGAGAAAGAAGGTGAACCCAATCCAAGCCATGGTTTTCTCAATCATTTCTTATGCATGTGAAAACTAGACAGTAAGAAATAGATAGTAAGAAAGTAAGAAATACTAAAGAACTGACGCCTTTGAATTATGATATTGTGGACAAAGATTTTACCATGGGCTTCCAGAAGAACAAACACATCTATTTTGGGAGAAGCACAACTGGAATCCTTCTGAAAACAAGGACAGTGAGATTTCATTTCAGGTACTTTAGACACGGTTCAGGAGACATCAGTTCATGGAGAAAGATACCATGTCTGTTAAAGTAGAAGGTCAGCAAAAAGAATGATCCTTAAGAAAATGGATTGACATGGTGGTGGCAGCAATGAGTTTAGGAATAGTAACAATTGTGAGGATGGTATTCTATTTTTGTTGTGCATGGTTGGGGTCACTATGAGCCTGAATTGACTGGAGGGCAACTCACAGTCATTTCCAAATGGCACACAACTTTGCATTTTTTAACCCTTATCTTAATATGAGCTCTGGTGGCCTAGTGGCTAGAAGCTGCATTGCAATCCTGAAGCCATGCTGTTCAAACTCATCAGCTGCTCTGCCTGAGAAGGATGGGCAATCTCCTCCCATCTGATTAATTGCGTCTGAAAATCTGCTGGAGGGCCAATCATGGGCCGGTTCTGACTCGACGGTACAAATAACAGCATCATCATAGAATATTAAGTAAGAAGAAGGGCAGGAGATGATAAAAAAAATGCAGAGAAAAGACCTGGGGAGTCCTATTAAACTTTTATGAACATCTATTCAAGTGATGGAAGTAGTGGCTTTTAAAGGCAAACCTTGCAAATCCAAGTACATAAAGCAATGCCAAATGCCACACCAATTAAGACACTAAATAGTATTAAATATTAAGCATGAATTATGTGAGATGGCACAATGGCGTCATTGGTAATGTGGAAGCCACTGGTCTCAGAAAGAACCTGTACTTGTTAATGGAAAATCATTTACTATGGAACAACTCTTAATGCCCTGTTTCTCCAGATCCTGTCGTAAAGAGTCTATTTTCCTTGATCATTCTCTGAACCGACATGAAGGGTATATAGTAAGAGTGTTCTTGCTGATCATCTAAATATTTAATTCCTCTTTTTGGTACAGGTCGTAAGAACAAGCCTGTCTCTGTCCTGTTAAGAGAGAGTGATTCGGAGAAATTGAGAGCCTTGAACGTGCAGGTTATTTCAGGTGAGTGCCGTGACAGGCAAACAGAACCGAGCTTAGGAAATTCCAGAGCATCACAACTTCGCTCCTAAGTAACCTCAAGATGCAGAGAAGGGCACCTATTGAAATTAGCCTGATATCTGGCAGAAAGGAACCGTGGGCAAATGAAATCCCTTTTAATATGTCTTATTATCACGGAACAGATGCAATCAAAACGACCTCCTTAAATAATGGAAAGTTTGCTTAATTGGCAAGAAGAAATTCATGTGAGTGGGCAGAGCTGGGAAGGCAATAAGGAATAAGCCTCAGATTTATTTTTAAATGAGACAAGATACCATTAGTCCTCGGAATTGCAAGAGGTAATTGCAGAGTGGGCATGGCTGCGCTGGAGCCTTCACTTAGCTGAAGGTGTCACTGTGTGGAGAGAACTTCTAATAGCCCCAATTAAAAAGCCCCCTGCCCTTTCTTGAGTTAAAGACGTGGAGAAAGGGATCCTAATTAGTGCAGCTAAGGGGGCTGTGAGCACAGACGCTAGGATTCCACCTTCTACTTCTAATTGCGAGGCTTCCTTCGGAATTCAAGCTGTCAAGTCACATTAAAAAGAAAGAGAGGGAGAAGGCTACATGAGTAAAAGCCTCTTTTCCATCAAGAAGAAAGAACACCCTTGATTCGTAGGACATCACAGGATTTTGAGTGATACCCTAGAGCTTGTACATAGCCAAAGAGCAAGCCCTTTTGAACTTTGTAAGACATGGTAAAAAGTCCTGTGTGCAAACAGTTTTCAAAACTGGAAGGAAATGGAACAAATCCTTGGCTCTGATCTGCAGCTGTAGCAGTAGTGCAGAGAGATAGGCACATGGTATGTCACTGGGAAATTTGTTTTCCAGGGTTTTGTGAGCCGTTTAAATAAGTGGGTACTCAGAAATTTGGGGAGGTCTAGTGACCTAGTTGTAAGAAGCTGCTCTGCAACCTGAAAGGCCTGCATTTCGAGTCTACCAGCTGCTCCATGGGAGAAGGATGGACAAATCATCTCCTGTGCTATTTCCTGCCTCTGAAACCCACTGGAGGGTCAGCTATGGGTTGATTCTGACAAGACGACAAAAAAAAAAAACAACAAACAAACACCAAGAAACGCTTAGCCTGAGGTGGGAATATGAGATTGGTGCATTTTCAGAGCTCAAATTGTTAACAAAATGTAAAGTTTCTAGCCTCAGAATTCACAGAGGAATCAATAAGCTATAACGGTGATAAGCTGAATGATCAGTTGGCACCAGTTACATGTGATGGCTCAGTGGCAGAATGCTCACCTCTCAAGCAAGAGGCCCAGGTTCGACTCCCAGCCAACGCACCTTATGTGCAGTCACCACTCCTCTGCCAGTGGAGGCTACTGTGATGCTGAACAGATTTCAGCAGAGCTTGCAGACTGAAGTGAACTGAGAGAGGAGGCCTGACAAGCTACTTCTGAGAAACAGACACTGAAATCCCTGTGGATGACAGCAGTCAGGTTCAAAATTGACCTGGAGGATGACGTTGCGCTGGGCAGCATTCCTTCTGCTGTGAGTGGATTTGCCGTGGGTTGGTCCAACTTGACAGCCGCTAGCAACAAATGTGTCAAAAGTTGATAAAGATGCTAGGTGGTTAGTGCAAAGTGTAACCAGCTTAGGAAACAAAGCCCATACAGTGGTGGTTACAAATGGGAAAGATGATCTTTTCAAATGAGAAGATGGTGTTTTCTCTTTTTTCCCCGCTTTCATCCAGTTCTCCTGTCTTCCTCTCGTATGGGAAATGTTTGCACTCTGTTCTGTCAGGCTTTGTGGCTGCCCTAGGAATTCTGGTCATTTCTTTTTCCAAGTCATAATTTTGAGCAATACAGTCTTGTCTGGGGGGAGGGGAAAGTCAATAGTCCCCCCCGTCAACCCTTAAAGTCAGGGGAATCACAAATTTAAAGTACTAGCTAACCACAAGACCAACCTCACAAGTCAAATGTATGATCTTGTGATTTTTGTTCTCCAAAGAGACCTACCTCAGCCATCTTTTTCCCTTTAACTGCTCTCACTGAACCCCCTCTAGTTTTATTGCCAGGTATATAACACTAACGTTTAGTGCAGGCCAACGGGTGACAGAAATTTTGTTTTTAAAAAAGCCAGGTTCTTTTTGAGATGTAGAACCTTAAGGGAGGGAGAGAGAAGCAGACTCTTTCATGATATTTATATTCCTTTCACCTGAATGCATTTTTTTCCCTTTCCCTGTTGTACGTTGCTCTTTCTGAGAGAGAAATGGAAAGGAAATAATGTTTCCCTTGAGTGTCGTTTTTAAGGCCTCTCTTTGTAATGATGGATTATAGGCAGCAGCGAGAATGTTCAGGGAAAATGTGCCAGCACAGCTCTGGGAAGGAGTGGTAACGTGAGTGGGGGGGGGCGGGGGGGGAATAAAGGCAGCTCAAAGAAAGTCGTGACAGTGGGTGACATTCAGCAGAGCAGCTTGCTGCCAACTCTAGCTGTACCTTCTAGACAGCCTTTCCAGTAGTTCATACAGCACAGAGTAAGTATTGTTGCACATAACATGCAGAGAGACAGTCTCGAACCCTCAGAAAGATGTTTATTTCTCTTACAAGAATGGCAAAAGAAAAGATTATCTAAAACCTGAGCAAGTACAAGGGGAGCCAGTGGCATGCTCGGTAGCAGGATGCACTGTTAACCAGAAAGCTGTATGTGACTCTGGAGGTTTGAGTCCACAAGCTACTCTACAAGAGAAAGATGGGCGGTCTCCTGATGTTACGATTTTATAGCCTCACGGGTGGGTGGGTGAATTTACAGAATCAAAACCCGCCTGGTGGGTTTTGAGTTGAACTGACTCAAGGGCACAGAGTTTGCTAGTATGGACCGTTCATATTGTTGTTAGATGCCGTTGAGTCAGGTACAAAACTCATGGTGATCTATGAAGAGCAGATCTGAACCCTGTCCTATCCTGTGCCTTCCTCACCATTGCCATGGCTGACACACATGGGCCCACTGCTGCAGTCACTGGGTCAATCCATCTGGTTGACTAATTGCCCTGTAAAAGCTGATAGGACAATGAGTCTTATCATAGAAGAAAAAAAATGACTCATTGTCCATAGCCTAATGGATAAGGAGTTGCTCTTCCAACGCAAAGCTCAGTGATTCTAATCCACCAGTTGTTCTGCAAGAGAAAGATGGGCAAACTATTCCTAAAACGATTTTACAGCCTCTGAAAACATGCTGGACAGTGAGCTGTGTACTGTTCTCACTCAGCAGCGATGTACAACAACATTACAGATATAATGATATCATACAAATCAAGTCCCAACTCTTATGTCTACATTATTTTCCTCTCTGCTTTGAAACTGTGATGTTGCCTGTCTTGGCATTAATCTGCTTTATGTGCTATTCATTTGACTATTATCTCCACAAAGAGATGACTCTGTCTTATTCAGATTTGTATGCCTGTCCTTGGCATAATATCTGGCAAGAAATTTGTGCATGAGAAAGGCTTATTAAATCACACACCTCTAAGGGGAAAGGAGTGTGGAGTAAAAAGTGTAGATGAGCAAGAAATGAATGTTAAGAGTCCAGGAAAGAGGAACACAGTGGAAGAGGAAAAGAAGGATCAGATGAACATGATTCAGTTCTGTTGAAAAGCATACAATGCTCTTTTAGAGCTGTTGAGGATGTGAAAGAATAAGGGAAAACATTGGTATTCTTGAAGAAAAGATTTTAAGAACTATGCCAATGTAACTTTGAAATGTATCCCCAGAAATTATGCTCAGTGGGGAGACCACAAATATTAGGGACAGGGAATGAGGACTCAAAATGCTGGGTGCAAACAGTAGAAAGCACTTTGGCTGACTTGGAAGAAAAGGAATTTAGTGGCAGACTAGTTTATAGTCTGTAGAAGCAACAGTACATTTCAACTAAACATCTCAGTTTATTGCAATCAAGTTAGAACCAACTTATAGGCGACCCTCTTGCAGGTTTTCAGAGACTATAAATTGCCCCGGAGGACAGTGTTCACCTCACTCTCGTAGAGCTGCCGGTGAACTTGAACTGCCAAAGATGCATCATCTTTGGGTTAGCAGCACAGCTCCCTATGGGCTTGATTGGCAGCGCAACCTACCCGAGCTCCCTCCACCAGAGACAGTTACTGTTAAGGTCATTGAGTCAAGTAAAACTCATAGTGACCCTATGAACAACAAATATGAACCCTGTCCTGTGCCATCCTCACAGTCTGACATACTTGAAACTGTTGTAGCAGTCACTATGTGACTACTTGGTTGAGGGTCTTCCTCTCTTTCACTGTCCCTCCACATTCCCAAACATGTCCTTTTCTTTTTTTTAGATAAAATTTTAATTGTTATTTTAATGAACATTTATAGAAAAGTTAGATTTTTTTCATTCATTATTGTTGCACATTTTACCCCCTCTCTCCCTTCTCCTTCCCCAGTTCATGTTTTTAAAAATATTCATTCATTGTTGCACTATTACCTCCCTCCCCTCCCCCAGTCCTCTTTGTAATGATGCACATCTTATTTTGGGCTGTTGTAATATGTATAGTGCCTAATCATATATTCCTTTTACTACGCAGTGCTGAAAAGCAATGAACTTGTAAAACATTACACAACATGAGTGACCTTGGAGGACATTATGCTGAGTGAAATATCTCAGTCACAGAAGTACAAACACTGCATAGCATCACTGTGATAAAGCAGCTTTGACATGGGGGTTGGGAAGAGAATAGGATAGGAGTGGATAGATAATGAACATTGCACTGGAGAAGAGGAAGGATGTCGTTTCTAAATGTCCAAAGTATGTGAGATGAAGCTTTGGCATCTTTGCTTTCAAGGAGCACTCTGGCTGCAGCATCTCGAAGACAGTTCGTTCTTTTGGAAGTCCGTTAGGCACTGTATATTTAGAGACTTTAAGAGAATTCTTATAGTAGTGGTGGCTTAGTGATAGAATTCTTGCCTTCTATGCAAGAAACTTGGGTTGGATACCTTGCCAGAGTGCCCAATGTCTCTCGTGGAAGCTCGTGTGCTGTGATGCTGAATAGGGTTCAATGGAGCTTCCAGACTACGATGAACGAATCGTCTTCTGCAAACCAGTTAATGAAAGCCCTATGGACCACATCCATCTCAGCCACCAGGGGATGGTGCCAGATGGGGCAGTGTTTCTCTCAGTTGTGCATGGGCTTGCTGTAAATTGGAAGCCAATTAGACAGCAACTAATGACA